TCTTTAGAATGGGAGTGATCTGAAAAGTAAAAAATCATGTGTGCAGATCACACGTGTTAGAAGTGAAACCTTCAAAAATCTAAGTTTCGAGAGAATTAGACGAATGGACAGTTTTAGGAGTAAGATAATTGTAGGATTTATTTATTATAATATTATTACTATATATTATAAAGGTCACCGGTATGGTCTCTGGGTGTAATAGCTGATAAAAAGAGCACTTTTCACAATTCAAGCAATAAAAACGGAATGCTGAATGCGATAGTTATAAATAGTCACCAAAATGGTAGGATGTTTATCAAAGGAAATATAATTTGTCAGAAATTAGGTTAAAATAAATAATCCTTTTTTTGAAACTCAGGTATAAAATTTTTTTTTTTATTATGGTATTCTATTTCCCGTTTTCATCTACATTCTTGCGCTTTATAACAAACATTTTAGGATAGATGAAATAAAGACGTTACGAAAAACATATGAAAAATACTGCTGGACTGAACGAAGGTTCTGGTAAAATGCAATAAAAGATCTAATAAAGATATTTTCTAGAAATGATTTTTCAACTCTGTAGCCTACCACACTTTAAGATCCTTATTATTGGATTGGAAAGAAATTATCCGCGGAAATTTACTTTTATTTCAAATTTAAATTTACGAAAAAAGATTAAACCGATTTAGGTCAAATATGCGCCGTTTTTTTCGATAAATTGTTGCTATTTTGAAGGTAATTTCATTATGCCTCTCTCATAGAAGCCCTCATCCCTATTGGCAAAAAAGTGAGACAACCAATTTTCAAAAGACTCTTTTGAGGGCAGCCTAGTACTGCCAAGAGCATTTTGCATGGACCGTAGTAATCACTTTGTGCCAGGTCCGGACTATAAGGTGGGTGTGATATAACCTCCCATCCAAGCTCCCGGAGACTCTGCCGGGTCGTCAAATATGTGTGCGGTCTAGCATTGTCCTGATAGAACACAACACCTTTTGTATTCACCAATTCTGGCCGTTTCTGGTCAAGCGCCTGCTTCAATTTGGTCAGTTGTTGACAGTATATGTCCAAATTGAGTGTTTGGTAATAGGGCAGCATCTCATAATCTAGTGTTAATTCTGAGCATACGTCGAGCAAGTGCTCGCCCAGCTGTGCCTCAGGCTATTGCCTATTACACGTGATGTTGAATGCGTAAAACCATTGCGAAGAGAACAATGACCGTAGATGTTATGATCATTGGGCTTGGAAAAACCCCCTCTTCACCATTTCTGGATCATCAGAGAGGTAGACCGTCCCAAAGCTGGGAAGTGACTCACTTAGCCGTTTTGCTGGCAAATCATTAAGATTCTCGAAATCCATTGTTTTTACTGGTTTATTTTTGAATGCAGTCTTGTCTATGGAGCGCTCTGATTGGCTGCTTGACATAGGTTTGTCCAAACCGGACAGTTTCGCACTGAGCCGCAATGCCGCGCACCACTCGCGCGGGATAAACTTTCGACAGAAAAGTTTATTTCCAAGATGGCTGCACAGTAGTCTGAGAACACGAATATAGTTTTTCGCTAATGTTTCTCTTTCACTACTTAAACTAATATAAATTAATAAATCAGTTTGTTCTAAATTTTTTGCACTTTTCACTAATGACAAATTTATAATTAGTAAAAGAAATATTTCACAAGTTTCCACTGGTAAAACACGGAGCGACGCGGAGACGTCCTACACACTTTCATCCAGGGGGCGCTAGTAGCAGCTCATAATAGACGATTCCCTTCCAATCCCACCAAACACACAGTAAAACCTTCTTGGCCGTCAATCTGGGCTATGCCGCCGTTTGGAATGATTCGCCAGCCTTCGACCACGATCTTTTACGCTTTACATTGTCGTATGTGATCCACTTTTCATCACCAATCACTGTCCGTTTCAGAAATGGGTCGATTTTATTGCGATTCAGCAGTGTATCGCATGTATTGATTCAATCAAAAAGGTTCTTTTGCGTTAAGTCGTGCGGCCCCCAAACATCCAGCTTTTTTTTGTATCAAGCCTTACTCAAATGGTTCAAAACGGTTGTATGAGTGGTATTTAGTTCCTGGCCTAACGATAGAGGGCTCACATGACGGTCTAGCTCAAATAATTCCATGATTTTATCAGCATTTTTGACGATTGGCCGACCAGAGCGTCGTGCATCTTTGACATCAAAATTTCCTGAACGGAATCGAACAAACCATTCCTGTGTACGATGTTCACTTACAGCATCCTCACCGTAAACCATACCAATTTTTTGGCATGTTTTTGCAGCGTTTTTGACTCTTTTATAGTAATATAGCATTACATAAAATATTTCTTCGGAAATTTTACTCAGTTTCAATGTAATATAACTTTTGACACGCACGACAAATTGCGAAACTGTCTGCATAAAGAATGTAGCTTGAAATATCATCTTTCAAACGGCGTATAGTATAACCCGATAAGAATCTTACAAACCGAGATATCGACGCTAGCACCATCTATTGGGAAATTCCGCGGAAACTTTCTTTCCAATCTTATATTTATAACATATCTCGTCCTTATTCTTTGGACCACAAACTAATCTTTCTAAATACTCTCGTCTAAATAAAGATCTGAACAACGAAAAATCTAAAAAATGCATTGAATCGTATCGCTCTCTCAGCTTATCGAACTGTGTACACTACGAATCTCAAATTTCAGCTCCGTGGTAAGCTTCACCGATTCACGCTGGGCGTTCAACACCTTAAAAATGTTTCTATTTTATTGAAAAATTAATATTTAATTATTTATTTCGCAAATATTGTAATTAACAATTATGAAATATATAGAATATAATAATTGTATTGTCTGCAATATTTTACAAAAACATGAAATGATTATCAGATACATCAGGGAAAGAAAATTAAAAAACATTGTAGAACGTTTTTCTTATAAATATCCAAAGACATGTTTTTTAATTATAATGTTTGTGTATTTAGGAAATTTATACTAATTTTTCAATAAAATAGAAAAGCTTTTAAATAGAAGAAACTAGACACGTTACAAAAACAAATAAACCTTATCTACTTTATATTTCCAATAAGAATAAAATAATATAACCTATTTTACAAATATAGAAAAAAAAAATATAGAAAAAAAATTTTTAAAAAAATTTTAAATATTATAAAATAAAACAACGAAAATAGAAATAAATTTTAAAAGCGTTGTAATTCAAAACCCGATAAAACAAAAAAGATACTACCACAATTGTTCCTTTCTTTAACATCATCTACAGTTATTAGTTGCAACACAAAAAGAAATACTTGTGTATGCTAACCTATGATAAAGATATCTCACTTTCACAGAAAGTGTCAAAAGTGTAAGAGAAAAAAAATTCATCTACCTGAGTTTCAAAAAAATGTATATTATATTTACTTGGATTAGGACGGCGTATCTTTCTGTCGTAAAATATTCTATTATATTCGTCTCTATCTATTGCTATCGCATTTAGCATTCAATCTTGATAGATAGAATTTTAAAAATATTAGATTTGGTCAGCAACCTACACCCCAAGGTCGGTTCCTTATCATGAGAAAAGAATTAAAAAAAACAGAGAAAGCCCGTTAAACTTTGATCTATATTTCTAATTTTTATTATCGGTTCGATAATATTCATGCCTACAGTTTTTTTGTACAAAACGTGTCATATCTTTTTTATTTAAAAATGTTTCTATTTTTTTGAAAAATTAGTATTAAATTCTTTATTTCGCAAATATTAAAATAAATAATTATGAAGTACATAGAATATATAATAATTGTATTGTCTGAAATATTTAAAAAAAAAAAAAGGATTACCAGATACATAAGAAAAAAAGAATTAGGAAATACTGTGAAATAAATGAGGAGCAGCTGACAAATTCTATTCAAAAGCGAGTGAATTACTGTTATATTTTTATTTTGCTTCTTTATAAAATATATTTAATGCATAAAGACAATATATGTCTATTAAATTTGATTCTTATGTGTTTTTATGAAAAATATCCAAAGAGATGTACTGACCCATGCATATATGAAAATTATATTACAAATTGTGATATTTGCGTATTTATGAAACTTATACTAATTTTTCAATAAAATAAAAACATTTTTAAGATGTTGAGCGCCCAGCGTGAATCGGTGAAGCTTACCACGGAGCTGAAATTTGAGACTCGTAGTGTACACAGTTCGATAAGCTGAGAGAGCGATACGATTCAATACAAATTTAGATTTTTCGTTGTTCAGATCTTTATTTAGACGGGAGTATTTAGAAAGATAAGTTTGTGGTCCAAAGAATAAGGACGAGATATGTTATGAATAATAAGGGTCTCTATGTGTGGTAGGCTACAGAGTTGAAAAATCATTTCTAGAAAATATCTTTATTAGATCTTTTATTGCATTTTACCAGAACCTTCGTTCAGTCCAGCAGTATTTTTCATATGTTTTTCGTAACGTCTTTATTTCATCTATCCTAAAATGTTTGTTATATAGCGCAAGAATGTAGATAAAAACGGGAAATAGAATACCATACTAACAAAAAAATTTTATACCTGAGTTTTAAAAAAAGGATTACTTATTTTTACCTAATTTCTGACGAATTACATTTCCTTTGATAAACATTTTACCATTTTGGTGTCTATTTATAACTATTGCATTCAGCATTCCATTTTTATTCCTTAAACTTGGAAAAGGGCACTTTTTATCGACTACTACACTGACTAATCATACCGGTGACCTTTATTATATATGGTAATAATATTATAATAAATAAATCCTACAATTATCTAACTCTTGAAACTGTGCATTCGTCTGATTCTTTAGAAACTTATTTTTTTAAGGTTTCACTTCTAACACGTGTTATATGCACACATGATTTTTTTACTAATTCACGGAATTCATGCTTAATGGTAAACATAAATCACAATAAAATATACATAAGTTTTGTTGTGTTTTGGTTCTTCTATGAATATTTTTCATTAATAATTATTGTTTAATATATATTACCGTTAAGATTTGATAACCAAGGATGCAAATGAGTGAAGTAGCTCCGAGAAGGTGAGCTAGTAGCGTCACGCTGAATGCTTTTGCCACGATCTGACCCATTCTAAAATAAAAATTTTAATTATTCTTAATAAAAAGTTAAAAAAAAGCGATTTTTCTAGAGACAATTTTAATAACTAAACATTGATCAAAAGTTTTATTACGATTATTAACATTTATTTTAAATATATTAATAATGCTGCTTTGCTGTAATAGTCTAAATGTTAAAAAAATATGAGTGTAAAAATTTATTTTTTACAAAAAACATCGCACAACGAACAGGTTTACAGTTCCAAGTAATTATGATATTTTTCGAAAACTACATCATCGGTAAATAAAAAATACTACTTGATGTAGCTTGACCAATTAACAGTTAAGAAGGTTTGTTAATTACATCGTTAAACGGTTGAAAGCTGTAGAATTTTGTTTTAGAGAGTATAACTTTATAAGTATAAGATTATTGACATATTAATATAATTATATTGAATACTATTGTATTGTTGTATAATTCTATTGAAATATTTTTATTTCATCTTCAATTACTCATGTTCGTTTAATAAAAAACGTGTTAACGTAAATTTTCTACTTTGTATTAATCGTGCTATTTTATAGCAAATTTTTATTGTTAATATTTCAAGAATTTAAAGAACAGGAACTTAAAATTAATTTTAAACTGTAGATACAATAAGACAAAAATGATATCCTCTTTAATATAACTAACAAGTTAAAATTTTCTTAGAATGTTTAAAACTCGTGCTTATTTCCATCGACTTAGTTTATAATCTTTCGGGAACATTGTCATTTCGCGTGTTCTTGGCATGTAGCAAGTAATTGTTCTCGATTTACTTTGCGACGTCACTAGACGGATATTTTTATTTATCTTTTAAGATTATACAATCAAGCATCACGGAAAATCGATGAGGTAATCAATATCGATCACGTCTCGTTTATCGATGAAAACTAATTGTGTAGCTGCTACTTAACATATTCTCAGTTTTATTATAGCCTTTACAGAACTTTCACGGGTGAATGAGTTCATCCAAAATATTTCATTTTGAAGTGAAAACTTCTTTAGAAAAGGAAGTGATTAGAAATAAATGAAACGCTGGTTTAGGCAACGAACTGGTAGATGGCGAGGCAACGGAGCCTGTATACGGATAGGCAACGGAGCAACGGGCTGCTATGCAACGGCCACGATATTTAGTAAGAAGAGATATAGAGACAAAAATATAGGATTGAGCCTGTGAGCGAATGAGACACAATAAAGTTATATAGTTTTTCCAATTTTCGGTCTCCTCTTTAAGCTCTGCTTCGTAGTTATCACTCCTGGTTGTATATGTGTGTGTTTGTGTGCGACTGCATACTACGCAGCGTGGACACATATAGAATAATTTCGATACTATACCTGTTTGTAGCTAGAAGCGATAGAAGGGTATGTTACGCGGAAATGTTCGCGTGAAGTTAAATTCACGTTGATTTCCGGATAGCGTAAGAATTCCGCCTATTGAATTCTTGTAATTGTATTGAAAACAAGGATTTCCAAGTTTTTGGAAAGAATAACTTTTATTTAAAACGGATTCACGTTCGGCTACAAACAACTTACAAGAGTAACGGCCTGAATAGAAGAGAGTTTCGGATGTCGAGGGAGCCCCTTTTAAGGGAAATCGGAACAAGGAATCTTCTAGAAGAAGGGCGTTTTTTCATAGGTAAGGGTTTCTTATTGGTGTTCCCACGGTGCAGTGGGGGATTGCCTAAAATTCCAAATTTTATGTTCGGCGTAAAATAAAAGA